TTCTCCCACACTCTCTGTATAATAACACCCTGCAACAGGATGACATTTGAGGACTACTGCAAGTACTTTGTACAGACGTGCATCTGCCTAGAACTAAACACTGTGTATTCTTTATCCCCCCCCCAGAACTAAACAGTGTATATTCTCTATCCTCCCCCATAACAGGATGACATTTGAGGACTACTGCAAGTACTTTGTCCAGACATGTATCTGCCGTGTGGTCAACACCTCCTACCTGAGCCTGTCCAAGACCTGGCACGAGGGTCTGTCTCACGGTCAGTGGGTCAAGCCCGACCGCGCCGGGGGATGCCCCAACAACAAGGACACCTTCCTGCTCAACCCTCAGGTAAGACTAGGTCAAGGTCACAGCTTTGACTCTCTCACGATGGCGGGTCTGTGTAGAAATGGTCACTTTTGAGGACAAGCGGGCTAACCCAGATTTCGAAGGTTTCCAGAAATCTTGACCTACACCAAAAGTAGACCTTGCCCTATCTATAGGAGAAGTTTGGTTTCATTGGTGTGTACATTTGTTTGGTTATAGAGAAAATTGTCCTAGTCATTTAAAGAAACTGAACAAGGAGCAAAAACTTACCTTCGATTTTCTCCAAACTGCATATTTTGAGATAGCCCCCTTGTGCTTAAAAGCAACCATATGTGTTGATGGTACCATACTAGCCTTTTTCACTTCTTTTTTTTCGATAAAATTCTCAGGATTGTAAATATTCAACCACTCACTTCATTTTCGGCTTAGGTAATGATTCGTTTCTCATTTCCTCTAGATAAAAGTTTTTACACTCACTAAGTTATCGCTTACACTTTTTTTCCCACCCATTTTTTTGGTGTCACATTCGTTCCTTCTTTCCAATCAAACGTCTATCCATCTATCATCCTTGTCTTGCCACTTTTTCTTTGAATGATACTCTCTCGTAACATCTCTGATTTTCAGCACTTATATGACCTATTTGTGTTGCAAGTGTCTTAGAACCTTTATCCAAACTATTACTAATACCAAACTGGAAATGGGTACCCGGCCATAGACAGCGAAAGATCTTGTCCGTATATTAGTGTAGTGCCTATAAATGGCCGCTTGCACTGTATGCGTCCCAGGAAGTTGAGTTTGTTTCAGAATGCTCTCAGATGTGCTGGGGTAATAATATAGACTGTGAAGCATATATATAGAGCTTGCTGTTGAGCGGGGATTTGCGCTATACAAATACTATCTATTATTATTATTAAATACATTGGGGAGGAGGAGGAGAATTTTCATGAAAACTTGAATGGTTTCTGTTAAACTTAATTTTTTCCGTCCTTGCAGTACTCATTTGACATCACGGAGGACGAAGACGAGTGTATGATTCAGCTGATGCAGAAGTCGCTGCGGGCCAAGGAGGGCTGTGAGAATGTGACTATGGGATTCACCATCCTCCGGGTGAGTTCTCAAGGTCGTTTTTCTTACACAGCACTGTGTTCATGTGTGTAAGCAGAGAGGCATCGACATACTGTACACACACAAACTCAAGACGTCTCTCTCTCTCTCTCTCTCTCTCTCTCTCTCTCTCTCTCTCTCTC